GGTTCAGCCTCCTGATGAGTCGGTGAAACTCCGACGAAACAGTTTGTCACAGCCCCTCGTTTGTTGTCCTCTTTTCTCTCTCTGCCTACGGTTTACCGGGCAGTTCTGTTTGTGACGATATATATGTGTATTAGCATGAATTGTGTAAGGACCATGCTATTCTGCAAGGCACTTGAATTTGGGACAAGGATCATCCCAGAACCGGGTACGAGGGTCCTTGTTCTAAAATTTTGCGACAATTTCTTGTTCCAAAATTTGGCAACAAGTGCTCTCTCAGAGCATATACTCACGCTAGGACTTTTTCGACTGCGCTTGGGACATAATTGTGGCCAGATACATCCAGGTCAAGGTGAAATTCCGGTCAGAGGAAAGTACTACTGTCATCCCCCGAACATAAAGCATATGGTGGGGCTCTTTATGAAATGTGGTGGGGCTCTTTGTAGGCTTTAGGGTAGGTCTAGGGTAACTACAGGGTAAAGCCTTAAAGCACCAGTACATGGGCACCTGGGCCGCGGGCCTGACACCTCAAATTCTGGAATCGCGAAATGAAAACGCGACCACTGATCCAATTCATCAACAGCGGGCCCGGCGTTTGATGTTTCAGCCTCGCTTTCTTGTGGCCACAAGTTTCCGACTGCAAGGCTGGGTCCGTGTACTACCGCCTTCACCCGAATAGAACGCCCGGTCATTATTGCTGCATATGGACCGAAAGTTGTGCCAAATACAGCTATAATGACCGGACGTTCTATTCGGGTGAAGACGGTAGTGGTTTAACCTTCAATAGGCATCCTTATTGGGACTGAACTGTTCGTTAACCATGGAGGCTGCATTTTCTGTAGGGGCTTTAAGCATGTATGAGGGGTGCATTTATGTAGGGTAGATGGGGCTGGGGGTAAGGGGGAGAGTGGGGAGGGGGCAGGGATGAAGACGAGGGGTGTGTGGGGGTGTTACTTTTTGTGGACTGTTTTGCAGATGTCTTCCAAATCCATCCCACCTGGACATGTTATCGTCAACGCATGCCAGGTGTTGCCGGTTGGTGTGTAAAATTGAGCATTTGACCCCTTGTCTTTTGAAGATTGGGCCCTGTCTCTGCGTCGATTATTAAACTACCAGTACCTCACCCAGGCAAACGTGAGAATTAAAAATGCGGCGTTCTGGGTTCGTTGGATGAGCAGTGCTACTGGACCAAAATAGCTGGTGGCACGAGGCAACAAAAAAACGAAAGCAAAAGCACACAAAAAAAAAGGCACCGCTGGCAGCTCGTTTTTCCTTTGACGCACAGCGGAAATCCACCTCGTCAAAGAGAGGCTCGGAGCTACTGGTGGCTTAAACCACCAGTACCTTTCCCCGCGTGAAAGACAAACACATGGCGGTATACACTGGCAACCTTCGGGGGGCCGGGGGGCCGCCTTTGCCTTTGATAAATTTCATCGGCAGCCCGTGTTGCGTTCCGGGCCTCTGTAAGTCGCGTGCAGTGAGGGGCCCGCGGCCGATATATGGGAAATGTACTGGTGGTTTAAGGTTGCTAGCCTAAGAATACTTTTTTTGCTATTGAGAACTTTTATTGAATCCTTAAAACTGCCAGTACACCGCCCAGGAAAACTGGAGAACCTGTTTTGAGCCTCTCGGAAAATTTAGGAGGCCGAGCGCCGTAGATAAAATGAATCGGCGGCGGGAGGCCCTCCGAAAGGGGCCCGTGGCCGATAGCTGGGATTCACTGGTGATTGAACCGCCAGTACACCACCCAGGCAAACTGGAGAATCGAAGATGAGTCGTTCCGAAAAGTTGGGCGAACAGCGCTACCGAACCAAAATGGTTGGCAGCACCAGGCAAAAGGGGGGGGGG